CGCAAGTTGCAATGAGGCAAAATGGAGAATTTCTGCCTACGTACTCACTAGGATGGCCCTTAAAGCCCTCTGAAAAATATTCCTGAACATGATGAACTCAGACTCAAGAAAGGAATATATATATATATATATATATATGCCATCCCAAGGGCCTACCTACTTCACAGGCTTCATATACACCAAACATGGGAACATGCCTTGGCTTTTGTCAAAGTAGGGAGGTGCAACTGTGTCAGTGGGTTTAGGGTTTAGGGATTAGGTTTGTCGAGACTCTTTTTCTTTTTTGACTCTTCGGGTCTTGCTTGTCAAGCGAAGCGGAACTATTTCAAAACATGGCTGGGTTGCTCTGACTTTGCCAGGGCTGGGTCAACGTGTTCGGTCCTGAAAACCTCTGGCTTGGCTGCAGCTTAGCTTTGTTCGCAGCCCCCCCCCCCCCCCCCCCCCCCACCCCACTAACTACCCGCTTGCGACAGTGTCAATAGTCAATACAGCCCACTGCTTTGCCGAGTCAGTCTTTTGTTGGGCTCTTGAAGCGAAGGGGATATGCTTGAGAGCATTGCTAGGGCTGGCATAGCGGGTGGGCTGGGGGAGAGGGGGGGGGGGCGGCCCTCCCCCCCATTGCAACAGTGTCACTACAGCCTTGCTTTCTTCGCCAAGTCAGTACTGAGTTCTGCTTGAAAACAGGGCGTTTTTGCGTGCTGAGGCCAACATGCTTGTCGATGAAAAGGCACAAGAGGGGAATCACAGTGTCTGTGCTTACATTGCCGGCCCCTTTTTTTGGATTCGCCAACCGCTCAGTCTTCAACAAAAACTTTGGTTTGGCTTTGTCGTAGCGGCAGGGGACGGGGGGAGGAGCGACCCTAGAAAGGAGTAAGGAGTATTATGCGCTGAACAGTCAATGAATTTTCTGGAGGGTTTGGCGGTTTCGGCACTTTGCTTTAGATTTCAGGGGAGGGTGGGGGGGGGGGGGGGGGGGGGGGGGGGGGGGGGGGGGGGGGGGGGGGGGGCAGGCCAATGGATGCACACAGAAGTGCTGTACTTTATCGCAGCAGCAGCCCCGTGAATGGGTAGCAATGCGGTAACTTACCTACCGAACTTGCAGCCGGCGAATAGGCAAAAGGCAAAACACGGCTATAGCTTTCCGTCTGTGAAGTCTGCGAGCAGACGTGACATGCTTGAATCTCTTGCATCAGGCTGCAAGTGAATCGGAAGACCCTGTAGGGTCAGGTCTTCCTTGCTTCTTTCCCTTCCTTGCTTCCCTCCCTTCCTGTCTTCCTTCTAGTAGGACTTAGATTGGGAGGTTCCCCCCATTTTCTAGCAGTCCTTACTGGGGATTATAGTACCCCCTATTCTAATCCCCATTAAGGACTGTTCGTATACGGGGGAACATCCCAAGACTTAGATTTGTTGATCCCAATTTGATTTGCTGCCTTGATGTCCCCTTTGATTTTGCTCTTGTCCCTGTTTCATCCTCCTTTGATCCGTCTCCCCCCCCCCCCCCCCCCACATCCCTGGACCCAAAACCCTAAACCCTAAAACATCCCTGGACCCAAAACTGCAAACTCCCAACAAGCGGCGCCTGGAACATTGTGTCAGGCCCGTTCCAGCCGGCCAGGAAGCCCACCAACCAGAACGCGGCCGCGCAGATCACGAAGAAGGCCCCCAAAGACACCTACAGCTTTCTGCCAAAAGGGCTTGCAGTTAGGAGAAAGGCCTTGGCAAGGGAATCGACCCTAACCCCTAAAATTCTAAAGCCTGCCGTTGAAGCCCTTGCAAGAGTTGCATGGTCCGCGGTCGCCTAAACACTAAACCCTAAACCCAAACCACAAACCCCCAAACCCTAAACCCCTAAACCCCTAAACCCTAAACCCCAAAACCCCAAAACCCCCCAAACCCTAAACCTCTCCCTGCGGCCCACCATAGCTTACAATCTCTTCGTAAGGAACTCGAACTCCCCACAAAGAACAAGTTCTACAAAGGAACCTAAGAACACGCTAACACCTCCTCCCCCCCCCCCCCCAAACCCGAAAACTTGTGATGTTCCCCCTTTATACTAACAGCCCTTAATGGGGGTCAGAAATACGGGGTACTCTAATCCCCAATGTCGGACTGTTAGTATAAGGGGGAACATCCCAACCCTACATCCAAAAGCCATCTAAAAACCTACAAACCCATCTAAACCATCTAAGACCTAAAACCCTCGGCCTAATCTCTCAAACCTGAACGTGCATGTTGAAAGGCCCAAAGCTGCCAAAGCCTACTTGGAGGTTCATGGTACTTATTAACCAAATATAATTTTACTTTGCTTATCACGCACTTATAAGCCCCTGTAGTTCCCCTAAGATGGCTAAAATTGGGTTTTTAGTACAGTTACTATTCCCTGAACCCTAAACCTTAAACCCTTGGTTAATAAGTACAGTTACTGTTGGGTTTCATGAGTACCCTGAACCTCCAAGTAAGCCTCGCTAAACCCTAAACCCTAAACCCTAAACCCTAAACCCTAAACCCTAAACCTCCAAGGAAGCTATCAAGGGCACCATGGTCTCACCGCACTTGCAGCCGCACTCCTCGGCAAGGCCTTAGATGTGCCAGCGGAACCAAGGCGTTTAGGGTTAGGGTTTAGGGTTTAGGGTTTAGGGTTTAGGGTTTAGGGTTTAGGGTTTAGGGTTTAGGGTTTAGGGTTTAGGGTTTAGGGTTTAGGGTTTAGGGGTTTAGGGTTTTAAGTTTTTGAGTCCCAGCGCAACTATGGTGTGCTGGGTTTAGGGTTTTAGGGTTTTAGGGTTTTAGGGTTTTAGGGCTTTAGGGTTTTAGGGTTTTAGGATTTTAGGGTTTTAGGTTCGAAGTTTTCGGGTATAGATGTTTTGGGGACCGGACCTTCTAGCTGGTTCAGCGTGCCGGGTTTAGGGTTGAAAGGGTTTTGGGGGAGCTCAGGTTTTTTAATCGACTGGGGCCCTAGCAAAAGGCCCAAAAGCAGCTCTAGCTCGAGGAAATCTCGCCACCCCCGTTTCACGCATGTCTAGGCTGCCCAGTAACCTAGGCGTAAAAAGGATGCCCTTTTTTGCTGAAAGGGGTTTAGAAGGGAACCTAAACCCCCCCAAAAAGGGAATAAGGGTACTACTGGGCATCCTAGATGTAGACCCTCCAACCCTAAAACCTAAACTCTAAACCCTCTCGTATGGGGTTGGTAAGCCAGCATGCCAATTACTACAGAACTACCCTTCTTCTGCTTTCATAGTTAGGATTGCTAGGGAACGGGGCAGGGGCGAGGGGCGGCGGGGAAAATTGTACTACTACAATCAGATCCCCCATGCAACAACCAGAACCCCTACACCACAACTAGAAATCAGAAAATGGACCCAATTTCAACTTGCAAAGAATTAAGAACACGGAAGAACCGGCCCAACAACGACCAAACAGCCAGTAGTATTTAGGTACGACAACTCCATTAAAGTATCCTTCGCTCGATTTTGTCCCTGCTTACGAAGTCCCCGCCTCTGCGTTGGGTCGTGAGGGCTTGCGGTTCCCTACACCCCAAGCACGAGCCGGAGACCCTAAACCCTAAACCCTAAACCCTAACCCTAAACCCTAAACCCGAAACCCTAAACCCGAAACCCTAAAATTTAAACCCTAAACCCTAAGCCCCAAACCAAAAGACCCGGGGCTTGCAGTTTGCTAGATTCAATGCAGGGGCCCGATCAATTAGAATAGGTTTTTTTGGGGGGGGAGGGGGGGGGATATAGTAGCATTATATACGGACCATAAGGGGATACTAGGGACCACAAGTGGATACGAGTAGAAAATTGTTCCGACCCCTATATAATCTTCAAGAGGTTTGGGGCGGCATTGAAGCCCGCATCATACCTCGGTGCTCTCCCGCCTACGTGGCCTGCTTTGCCATGCCCTGCTATCATACCCCCACCCCCCCTTCAAGAAACCCTAATGAGTTAAGTTGGTTCAATGCTAATGCGGCTTTTCGCCAGCACCATTTGAACCCCCTTAAGTTGATTCAGGAACTTGCAAGTGTATGAGGGCTGAGGCGAGGTGGGCTGAGGATGTCCTGTACTTGGAGTTTCAGGGCACTTATTCACCCAATAATAACTGCACTTATAACCCAATTCTAACCTTACTAGGGCACTTAAAGGGGCTTATAAGTGGGTTTCAGGCTACAGGTACAGTTATAACTGGACAACAAGTAACATGAACCTACAAGTATTGAAGTCTCAGCAGCAGTCCGCTGGGCAGCAGCAGTCTCCGCAAGTGACCGGCATGGCTGCAAGGATGCTAAGTCTACAGTTCTCAAGCAAAACCACCCTAGATGAACACAACCATCCACGATCATCAGCGCATGGTTTTTGAGCCCCGAGCTCCAAACTGATCACGCAGCGGCAGCGGAGACGCTTCGTGAGGCATTTCGGTGCCATTCCCCTCCCCCCCCCCCCACCGTGGTGGCCGGCCAAAGCCTCGTAAACCTTAAATCCTAAACCCTGAGCCTCGTTTTTATCCCTTCGACTGTGCTCTAAGATCTCACCAAAAGCTTTCAATCTCCTAAACCACTCAAGCCTAAATCCCAGACAAGCCTAAACCTCAAATGGCTTCAGGCCGAGACCCGAACAGCAAACGTAGCGTGGGATTCTTCCTTGGACCCCTAAGGTTGTACCCTTGGACCCTCTTTAACGATCCTCTAAGGGAATACACGGGCCACAGCAGGAGTACATGAAGGGAACCCTCAAAGGTACATCCGAAGGGGTCCACGTTCGACTCCCTCGAACATCATCGTAAAACTCCCAGACCTCCATACGCCCATCTAAAGCCCTGCATGCTGAAAGCGGGACCTTCCATCAAGGCTTTCGACTGAGGATTTACAGTAGGGTTTAGGGTTTAGGCTTTAGGGTTTAGGGCTTAGGTTTCAGGCTTTGGGGTTGTTGGGCTGGAAGGCAGGAAGGTTCATTTTGCTTGCCAAAGTCCTACTGGAGTGCCTTCTGAAACACTCAGCGCCGGACGATGACCCGAAGACGTACAGGTGCACCGTGCCTGAGACCTCACTGTTTACCGCTGCGGGTTTAGGGTGTCTGCACGCGACACTACTCCTGCAGCCCTTTGTGACTTCGGCTGTTACCTCTACACCCTAAACCCTGAACCCTAAACCCTAAACCATTCTGTTCCTACGACGCACTTCCTGCTCATGCGAGGAGGTTCTGACCCGTTTGGCTTGCGTACAACTCAGACGAGGCCCCCAAATCCCTTAAGGATACTCCTCAACTCTGTTTGGGGAGTTCTCTGAAAACGGGCCTTTTGAATCCTTATGAAAAAAGGGTGTGCCGTGCTGACCCTAACTTAAAGAACTACCCATTTGGAGCTTGTGGTTTTATGTTCTGGGGGGGGCCCAATGTCCCCACCCGTCGCCTGCTCAGCCCACCGGAACAACCCGAAACCTTATCGGTTTTCTGCAGCCCCAAAACCTTACCATTCTTTCTGCAGCTTGCTACCAGTACCTAGGAACCCTATGAGGGGTCTAGCAACAACCCTAAATGCTACTAAACCCTACTGAGCCCTGCTAAACCCTACTAAAGCCTCAACCCTAAACCCTAATTAAGCCCAAAACCTTAAACCACCCCTAACCCCTGAGGTGAAGCAGCCTACAAAGCTTGGACATCCCTGCAAAAGGCCACCTCAAAACACACAAATCCTGAAGTATAGGGTTTCCGGTTCAGGGTTTAGGGTTTAGAGTGCCTGCATGAGCCTTCGACCCTAAAATCTCCTAACCCCCCCGAACCCTAGCCCCTGAAAAACATAATCTAGCCCCTAAATCCTATTCCTTGTGATGTTGCCCCTTTATACTAACAGTCCTTAATAGGGATTGTAGTAGAAGGAACTGTTAGTCTAAGGGGGAACATCCCTACCCATTGCCCTAAACCCCTAACCCTTACCCCCAACCCCTAACCCCTAACCCCTAAACCCTAAACCCCGCTCCGCCCGCGCGTTTTGCCGCGCTTCGACTAGAGCAAATTATGTTGCGTATCGCTATTTGCAGTGTTTTATAGCTTCACGAGTCGTGCAAAAGTCGTTTATGTCAGGACGCCGTTTTATAAAATTCAGCGTCCCAGACGCATACCTCTCGAGAAAAGTGCCGTTGAATGTGTGTGTGTGTGTGTTCTACAAGGCCAGAGCGGGCAATTTTCCTTGCTGACCCGTGACTGCGCTGCCGGTTGCTGGACTACTGTCTGTTGAGAGCATGGCGCCCTGGACAATCGCACGCAGTGGTACATGGACGTTATCAAGGTTCGGGCACGGCGCCCTAGACACTCGCACGTACTGGTACAGTGTTGCTGTGGGCAATGGATGCACTGGCAGCATGGACGTTATCAAGGTTCGGGCATGGAGGAATGTCCGAGGCCGCTTGAAGTGGCCAGAACGGATCTTCACCATTCGAGGGAGAGGCGATGCGACAACATGGGCCTCACCATGCGATGGAGAGGCGAAGCGGCAACATGGCACGTGGAGGCCTCACCATGCGATGGAGAGGCGAAGCGGCAACATGGCACGTGGAGGCCTCACCAGCGACAACATGGCGCGTGGAGGCCTCGCCGAATTTGAGCTGAAATCTCTCGGAAAGCATGGCAGGGACGGTGTTGACACAGATGGTAAACCTGCGGCAACACGTGTGGTCGTAGGGCTAAACCCTAAACCCTAAACCCTAAACCCTAAACCCTAAACCCTAAACCCTAAACCCTAAACCCTAAACCCTAAACCCCCCAGCCTCTGGGTTGCCTTTGCTCCGGGAGCGCCGCCGCAGCCGCCCTGCGGCCACGTCGAGGGCCGCGTCCAGAGCCAACAGTGCCTCGGGATATCGAGGCGTTAGGGGTTGAGGGGTTGAGGGGTTGAGGGGTTGAGGGGTTGAGGGGTTGAGGGGTTGAGGGGTTGAGGGGTTGAGGGGTTGAGGGGTGAGGGGTTGAGGGGTTGAGGGGTTGAGGGGTTGAGGGGTTGAGGGGTTTTGGGTTTAGTTTTTAGGTTTTCGGGTTTAGGTTTTAGGGAGTTTTCGGTTTTGAGCGTGTTTGGGGAGTGTATCGTCTGGCGGCTTTGGGTTTAGGGTTTCGGGGCCGTTCCTGCAGAAGAAGGTGACGGGCGGCTCTTTAGGGTGGGCGGGGAAAGGGACTTGATTCTCTCCTTTATTGGGGGGGGCAATTTAAGGTTTTGTGGGGTTTGTACTAGTAGGGCAATCTGGCACCAGAATCTTCCACCCAGAAGCACCCTAAACCCTAGACCCCAAATCCTATAAGTCCTGTAAGCCCGCCCTTTGAACCCTATAAATCCGATAAACCCTACAAACCCTAAACCCGATTAACCCAATAAACTCTATACACCCTATGGACCCTACAAACCCTACTAACCCCATAACCCTACAAACCCTATTAACCCTGTGAACTCTACAAACCATATTAAACCCCATAAGCTCCAGACGCCCTAAACCCTAAACCCTAAACCATATTGAACCCTATAAACCCTATACACCCGAAAGCCCAAACCTTTTGGGCCTGGTGGTCTGCGTGGCGGCCGGCTGCCGAGACTCCTTTGGCAAAGCTTTGAGACAGGCAATCGCTGCTAGGAACAGGTTTGATTAGGGGTTAGGTCTAGGGTCTAGGGTCTAGGGTCTAGGGTCTAGGGTCCAGGGTCCAGGGTCTAGGGTCTAGGGTCTAGGGTCTAGGGTTCAGGGTTTACGGTTTAGCCCTAAACCGTAAACCGTACACCCTAAACCCTAAACCCTACCTAAGCCTTGATGCCATGTCCATCATCGGTGGAGCCGCGTTGTCGGAAAGAACTTAGACGATCCACTTTGGCCTATGGGTCCAGATTCCCTAGTTGCTGAGTTCATAAGCCAAAAACAAGTGTACGCTTTCAGTTCTATTGGGGGTGATAGTATCCCAAAAAAATGCAAAGTGTGCTCAGTCAGCTACTTAGACCTATTCGGCTTCGTACCAAGTCTGCCGATAGCTTGGCTCGGTGCCTAGTCATCGGGTTTAGGGTTTAGGCTTTAGGGTTTATAGGGTTTATAGGGTTTAGGGTTTCTAGGGAATAGGGAAAAGGGCTGAGGGTAGCCTTTACATCAGGGTTCAGTAGATTTGGGCTTGCGGAGTCGAAGCTGACCTTATCACCTTAGACTCTTACAGCGCATCAGATCCCGGAGTTGAAGCTTAAAGAAAGTTGGGCTCAGGGTTTAGGGTTTTTAGGGTTTAGGGTTTTTAGGTTTTGGGGTTTAGGGTTTAGGGTGGTTCTTAGTAGGGAATGTGGATGAGGTACCCTACATAATGCCTTGAAGGGCATATGTAGGGATATATAGGGGGTTTGGGGGTTATAAGGGTTTAGGGTTTAAGGTATAGAGGGATGCAGGGTCCCTCGTTCCCTCATTCCCTACTAATAACCAGCCAGTACTTGGAGGTTCATGGTACTTCTTAACCCAACAATATCTGTGCTCGTAAACCAAAGAATAACCATATTGGGGCACTCAAGGGTCTTATAAGTGGCTTATCAGTACAGCTATAATTGTTCCTAAACCCTAAACCCTAAACCCTAAACCCTAAACCCTAAACCCTAAACCCTAAACCCTAAACCCTAAACCCCATGAACCTCCAAGTAGGAGCACTCAGGCTTCAGGGTTGAGACTTCGGATGTCTCCGGAGGTAAACTGCGCTGCTTGCGCGCCTGAAGCCTGCAAGGCCCCACCCCCCACAAGCCCTCCCTAAACCCGAATCCCTAAACCCTAAACCCTCCTGATCCCTTTAGGGTTTCGGGCTTCGGGGCTTATGAGCCGCAAAGGCTGCGGGAACCAAAGCAGTTCAGGCCTGGCAAGGCCAGCGGCCGCAGGGATCGGGGCCTGTGCGGCTGAGGGTTTAAGGGTTTAGGGTTTAGGGTTTAGGGTTTCGGGTTTAGGGTTTCAGGTTTAGGGCTTAGGGTTTAGGGCTTAGGGTGCAGGGCTTCGGGTTTAGGGTTAGGGGTTTGGGTTTACGATTGGGCTTCGGCTTAGTTTGCCGTGTGCAAGGGATGTGCCCTGCACTTTGTCTGGGGCCTACGGCTCTACACAGATCCACTAGAGTAACTCTACGGTAAGCTGTTCAACCCTGAACCCTGTGCCTCCTTGCCCAACCCTCTGTAACCTAAGACCCTCAACCCGATAAACCCTAAAACGCAAAGACCCTGAAATGCTAAAGACAAATCAGCCCCAAACCCCTCACCCCCAAGCCCCTAAAACCTATATTAATATACACCCGAAACCCAAAGACCCTGAACCCCGCCAAACAACCTAAATACTTGAAACCCAAACGGACGAAGAACCCCCCTTTCAACCAAATAAACCACCGAACCCCAAAACCCTGTAACCCCTAAACCCGAAACCCTAAACCCCGCAACCCCCACCGCACCCTTAACTTTCTGGTATGCAACCTAAATCCTTCGACGCACGCAAGCCCCTAACTCCCAAAACCGGGCCCAACAACAAACCCCCCACCTCCCCCCTTGAACCCCAAACCCTGAATCCTGAACCCTAAACCCTAAACCCTAAAGCCTAAAGGGTAAAGGGTAAAGCCTAAAGCCTAAAGGGTAAAGCCTAAAGCCTAAAGCCTGAAGCCTAAACCCTAAACCCTAAACCCTAAACCCTGAACCCTGAACCCTGAACCCTAAACCCTGAAGCCTGAAGCCTAAAGCCTAAAGCCTAAAGCCTGAACCCTGAACCCAAGACCGCAGCGCTACCCACCTCTGCTCTGCCACACCCGCGCGACCAGCGGCGACGAGACGTCCCGGTTCTTGGAGTCGTTCCTGCAGGGGGTTAGGGTTTAGGCGGGGTATGAGGAGGATTCGCTTTGCGGCCCCTAAACCCTGAAAACCCTAAAAACCTTAAACAACTTAAAACCTTAAAAACCTTAAAAACCCTAAAAACCCTAAACGCCCTGAAAACCCTAAACACCCTAAAAACCCTAAACCCCTAAACCCTAAAACCCCGAAAACCCTAAAAACCCTGAAACGCCGAAAAACCCGAATAACAAAACTTGAGAACCCTGAAATCCCGAAAACCCCCGAAACCTGAAAAGCGTGCAAGACCCTAGAAACCCTTAACAACCTGTAAAAACCTTGAAAAGCTGAAAACCTGGAAACCTTAAAAACCCCTAAAAGCCCTGAAACCCCTGAAAGCTCTGAACCCGCTCTGAACCCTTACAAACCCTAAGAACCCTACCTAGGCTTGAACGGACTCGCTGAACCCTACACCCCTGATCTCCTCGCTGACTTCCCTCAAATGTTTCACTAATTCACATGTTACGCGGGGTGGCCCAGACTCATGCCCCTAAACCCTAAACCCTAAACCCTAAACACTGAACCCTAAACCCTAAACCCTAAACCCTAAACCCTAAACCCTAAACCCTAAACCCTAAACCCTAAACCCTACACCCTACACCCTAAACCCTAAACCCTAAACCCTAAACCCTAAACCCTAAACCCTAAACCCTAAACCCTAAACCCTAAACCCTAAACCCTAAACCCTAAACCCTAAACCCTAAACCCTAAACCTAAACCCTAAACCCTAACCCTAAACACTAAACCCTAAACCCTAAGCTCTCCTCAGCCTCTGGGAGCCTCAGTTGAACGTCCACCTGCAGCCACGCCAGGTGCCTGCGGGGTTCGAGGGAGGTTCGGCTTGCTAGCGTTTAGGGTTTAGGGTTTAGGGTTTAGGGTTCAGGGTTTAGGGTTTAGGGTTTAGGGGAATTGAGTTTAGGGTTTAGGGCTTAGGCAATGAAAAACTTTAAGCTTGAGTTCTTCCTACATAGCAAGGAAACTCCAAAGAGGTTAGAGTTCAACTACTGGCTGAGGTGAGTTATTCGGATCTTGGTTCTGGGGCCGGGTTTTTAGGGTTTAGGGTTTAGGGTTTAGGGTTAGGGTTTAGGGTTTAGGGTTTAGGGCTTAGGGATTCGAAGGTTTAGGGTTAAAACAACGCTTCAAGGAGGCACCCTGTGGGGACTTGAGGGCTTCGAAGGCTTCAGGGGTTGAAGGTTTTGGTAGGCTTTGGAGTCTGAGGGCTTTGAAGGCTTTGGGTTACAAAGGCCGGTGGCCTCTTTCTCTGTTACCCTTATACCTTCATTCTGGCCCCCACATGTCCTAATAAAAACCCCCCCCCCCCCCCACAAAACAGAAACCCTACTCAAAGAGACCACCAGCCGATATAAGCTTTGGGGCTTTAGGGCTTCAAGAGTTGAAGGTTTTGACTTTGAAGTGTTTGAGATGGGTTATGGGATTGAAGCGCCTAGGGGTGTTAGGCCTTCGGTTTGCGGTCTAGGGCCCCTTACACAAGCAGATAGGGATTAGAGTCGGGGGTTTAGGGTTTAGGGTTTAGGGTTTAGGGAAAGTTTAGGGTTTAGGGTTTAAGGTTTAAGGTTTAGGGTTTAGGGTGGCTCCTTCTTGAATGGAATGGGTTTGGGTTTAGGGCACACGAGGCTGATCTTGACAAACCCAGAGCCCCAAACGTCATAGGGCTGCTCCAAAGCAGGGTCCGCCCATCGAAGCCTTCTCTACTTAAACATATTACGAACCGAAACCCTACACCCCATACCAAGAGCCTTGATCAGGGAATGCCGTGAGCAGGTTTTTGGTGCTGCTAAAACCTAAACCCTAAACCCTAAACCCTAAACCCTAACCCTAAACCCTAAACCCTAAACCCTAAACTGGGTGGGAGGGGTGGAGGGTTGCTGGCAGGTCGCAGTCTTGAATTTGCCGCGGATCCTAAACTCTAAAACCCTAAAACCCTAAAATCCTGAAACCCTGAAACCCTGAAAACCCTAAGACCCTAAAACACCAAGAACTCGAAATCCTCAGCCCACTGTGGAGGCCTGGTAGCTTGGGCCCAACGCCGGGCGGCAGCAGCCTGCAAACAAGTACGGGATTGACCCAATAATAGCTGTACTTATTAACCCAATAGGGATTAGGGTTTAGGGTTTAGGGTTTAGGGTTCAGTTAGAATGGGTTAATGAGCACCATGAACCTCCGCCTCCAAGTGGGTGACCCATTCTTGAGGTCTTTGCGACGGAGTGCTTAGGATTTGGGGTCAAGGTGCAGTGTTTAGCATGTAAAGGTAGGGGGTGTAGTGTTTCCTTTGGGACTCTACTTACCTGCAGTTGAGTACGTAGCAACTACCCCTTAATTAGTAGGAAAAACCATCTAAACTGCAGGTAAACAACGTCCCAATAGGAATCAGGGTAGGGGCTGTTGGAACGGTCTAGGGCCTAGCGATGTGTCGGGACTCTGGATGGGTTTTTTCTGCGGTTGTACAGCGGAGACACCCCGAACTCCGACAGAAGAATAGGCAATCTCCCTCAGAGTAGTTCAGGTCTAGGTGTTTAACATTCCAGGTTTCGGGTTCAGGGTTTAGGGGCCCTAAACCCTAAACCCTAAACCGTAAACCCTAAACCCTAAACCCTGCACCCTGGACTTCCACACCCAGAAGCCGAAAACCCAGATTCCTAGGCAACAGCCCCGCTGTGAGCTGTGTCGGTCCTTGCGGGCTTCCTCCCAGACCGCGCCGTCCTGCTGCTAACAAGAACCCTAAGCACCACTTCAAGGTTCACGGGTTTAGGGTTTAGGGTTTAGGGTTTAGGGTTTAGGGTTTAGGGTTTAGCGTTTAGGGTTTAGGGTTTAGGGTTGCTGCTTACAGAAACCCTAAGTCAGCAAGTTTTAAGGGTTTTAGGGTTTTTAGGTTAGGGTTTTAGGGTTTCAGGGTTTTAGGGTGTAAGGTTCTACGGTAGGGTTCGGAATTTAGGGCTTAGGGGTTTGGGGTCTCGGTGGAAGCTGAAAATCACTCAGGATTCTACAGATGTCTGAGATGTGGGCTCTGTGCAGCATCCCAAGATGCACCTGTGTTCAACATTCACCCACAGAAGCTTAGGGTTTAGGGTTTAGGGTTCAGGGTTCAGGGTTAGGGTTTAGGGAAGTGTGGCACCTTCTTAGGTGCCCTAACCTACTGGTCCTTAGTGGGAAAAAGAAAGGAATTAGGTACCCATTGACTGAGAACCAGTAGGCTAAGATAGGCAAAGTATGAGACAAGACCCCGATGCCCTGGCCTCAACCCTTGTCCTCAAAACCCTGAACCCTTAGAGCCAAAATCCCAACAGCCCTCCAATCTCCGGAGCTCTGAGACCTAATTAAGCCTTCTGCAGCACCCCAAGCTCAAGAACGCTCCAGAAATCGAAACCCATATTACCCTGTAAAGCGCCAACACCCATAAACCCCAAACCTCCAGAGCTCTGAAACCCTTCTCATCCTGTAAATCCTCTGAACCCATAAACCCTAAATCCGAAACCCTAAACCGAAACCCGAAACCCGAAACCCGCAACCCGAAACCCGAAACCCTAAACCCTTAAACCCCAAACCCTAAACCCAAAAGCCTAAATACACAAAAAAACAGCCCCCGCAGTCCTCCACTGTGGCAAGGCCGGCGCCCTCTAGAACGAGTTCCGACTGCCGGGGCCCTGGCAGAGACATGTCCTTCTTTGTATCAGTTTAGGGTTTAGGGTTTAGGGTTTAGGGTCGAGGGTTTAGGGTTTCGGGTTTAAGCTTAGGGTTTAGGGTTTATTCTGGGTTATTGAAGTGTACTGGCCAGTTTAGGGTTTCGGGCTTATATTGACCCAACTCTAAATCTTAACGCAGGGCCAAAGTTTAGGCGCGCGCGGCTCCCCCCGAAAAGAACGTCATGGATAACCCTAAACCCTAAACCCTAAACCCTAAGGGGAATGTAGGCAAGCGTGGCAGGCGCCGCGACATCGTGTCTTTTGACCAACCCGGTCGCATCCAGGAATCAGAATTCGGTCACCCTAAACCCTAAACCCGAAACCCGAAACCCTAAACCCTAAACTCGAAACCCTTAACCATAAACCCTCTGAACCCCAAACCCTGAACCCCAAACCCTCGGAACTCAAAATGCCAAAAAAGGAGGTAGTTACATGCTCCCTTAGTATGGGCCCTGAACAGGGACCCCTTTACATATCCGATGCAAAGTAAGGGCCCATGCTTCCGAACCCCGTAAGAGACCAGACTAGGGGCCCATGAAGCGCATGAAACTACCCTTACACCTAAAAAGGTCCAAGTTAAACCCAAAACCCAAAACCCTAAACGCCTATAAACCCTAAACCCTGAAAAGGTTGAAGGCGCCTAGGCCGGGCAGCGCCAGGGCAGCCGCAAAGCGCTCCAGCGACCGCAGGGCACGCTCTCCTCTGCCGGAGCAGAGTTTAGGGTTTAGGGTTTAGGGTTTAGGGTTTCGGGTTTAGGGTTGGTTTAGGGTCCAGAGTTCATCTCAGCTGGGGGGGGGGGGGGGGGGGGGGTGTAGGGTGTGTAGGGTGTGTAGGGTGTGTAGGGTGTGTAGGGTTTAGGGTCCAGGGGTCTCCTGGGCTGGAGTAGGGTTTCGGGTTTAGGGCTTAGAACTTAAAACTTAGGGATTACCTTGTAGGGTTGATGGGGCTTCTGGGGAAGCCTCAGCCCTGAAGCCTGAGGAACGAGCTCCTGTGCCCTTGCTGGAGACGATGGCTCGCAGGTGCTTGATCAACGGCGCGATGACCGCATCCTGGTTCTGGGCTTGAGGGCTTATTCATCATATTTGGAGTATATTCGTATTATCTTTATTGTCAGTATGATTATCCTTATCCTTCTTCTTCTTTTTCTTAGTATAATTAGTAGTAGTAGTAGTAGTAGTAGTAGTAGTAGTAGTAGTAGTAGTAGTAGTAGTAGTAGTAGTAGTAGTAGTAGTAGTAGTAGTAGTAGTAGTAGTAGTAGTAGTAGTAGTAGTAGTAGTAGTAGTAGTAGTAGTAGTAGTAGTAGTAGTAGTAGTAGTAGTAGTAGTAGTAGTAGTAGTAGTAGTAGTAGTAGTAGTAGTAGTAGTAGTAGTAGTAGTAGTAGTAGTAGTAGTAGTAGTAGTAGTAGTAGTAGTAGTAGTAGTAGTATTGCTGTTGTCATTACTAATATGGCAGTTATGATTACGATTATTACGTTGATGATGATGATGATGACGATGATGACGATGATGACGATGACGATGACGATGACGATGACGATGACGATAACGATAACGATGACGATGATGATGATGATGATGATGATGATGATGATGATGATGTTGCTTGTATGATAAGGTCCAGGGCGTTTAGGGTTTAGGGTGGGGATTGGGTCTTGGGGATTGGGGTTTTGGAGCTTGTGGTTGGGGGATTTGGGGTGTAGCTTTCAGGGTTCGGGGTTTTTAGGGATCTCTTTTTGCCCTGGGTGGTGTAGCCAGGGGTTCCCTAAACCCTAAACCCTGTCTATACGTTTGCAGAAAGAACCCACAGACCGAATTCGCACCTGGTAGGCGGCTAAGAGCTCATGCTCAGCCGTGCCAGGCGCGTGGGACGAGGCCAGAAGACATTCGGCCATGTCTGACCAGTCCTCAGACGCGTATGACCCTAAACCCTAAACCCTAAACCCTAAACCCTAGACCCTAGACCCTAAACCCTGTTTGATTCGCCTGAATGTGAAACTCCAGGATGGCCCTTATAAAACCTAACATTCCTGAACATGATCCTCTAAAACCCCATAAGGGGAACCCCTAAACCCTAAGCCAAAAACCCTGAACCCTAAACCCTCTAAAATGTCCAAAGGGCCCCTACTTCAGACAAAGGATGCAGGTCGTGGATGTAGCACAGATTCGTTTTGGGGTTGCAGGTTGTCGAGACAGATCGAACTTGCGTTGATGGTAGCTGCAAATGTCAAACTAGTCGCCAGAAGTGGCTTCATTGACCCCCTATGTCGTTTGTTGCGTCACTTCATCTGGTTTCCCATCCGCGCGGGTGGGATTCGCACATACGTGTTGCCCAAAACAACTCGCCAAATAGCGTGTGCCTGCCCCGCCGTCCCCAAACCCCAAACCCTAAACATCTAAACCCCTAAACCCCTAACTCCTAACCCCTAATTAACCCCTAACCCCTAAAGCCTAAACCCTAAACCCTAAATCTGTCCTGGAACCCTACTCTGCTACCGAACCCTAAGCTCAAACGGCCCTGAAGGGAAGCCTACCCTGTTTAGGGGTTTAGGGGTTTTAGGTTTTCGGGTTTAGAGTTTGGGGTTAGGGTTCTCGGTTGCAAGGCAAAGGGCTTTACGCTTTAGGCTTTAGGCTTTAGGCTTTAGGGTTTAGGGTTTAGGGTTTGGGGTTTAGGGTTTAGGGTTTAGGGTTTGGGGGCTCGGTTTCAGACGGTCAAAAGTGCACAAAGTGACTCCTGAGCCTCCCCAGTAGCTGAGGACCCGGCACGTCCGGTGTCCTGCAACAGCTGGGAAAACCCCCGACCCAAAAACTTAGACCCTAAACCCTAAACCCTAAACCCTAAACCCCAAACCCTAAACCCTAAACACCTGATGAAACCCTAAAGGGGGCAGAGGGCTTTTCCCGAACCCTGAACCCTGAGGCCGTCATTGGCTTTGGGGAGGCAGCGTGTCCCCCCCTTTGCAGAAACAGCCAGCCCACACTGGGTCACCAGGTTTAGGGTTTAGGCTTTAGGGTGTAGGGTTTAGGATTTAGGGTTTAGGGATTCAGGGTTATACTTCAGAACCCTTTACAGGAGGTAGAGACCATATTAAGGGCCCATGCAAACCCTAAACCCTAAACTTATAAACCCTAAAGCCTGCAAACCCCCACACTGCCTGCCTCGCCACCTAGCGGCCGCGCGGCGGTGCGGAGGAAGTTCGTGCTCAGGGCAGCCAAGACCGGTGCCTGGAGGATTCCGCTGTGCACCTATAGGGTTTAGGGTTTAGGGTTTAGGGTTTAGGGTTTAGGGTTTAGGGTTTAGGGTTTAGGGTTTAGGGTTTAGGGGCTAGCAACCTAGGAAACCTCGAGAGAAAGTCATATCAGGCCAATAATTAATGTACATTCCCCCTCTTCAAGAGTACCCAACTTACTCCAGCCCTAAACCCTAAGCCCTAAGGTGTAAGCCCTAAGCCCTAAGCCCTAAACCCTAAAAGGGCTTACAGTAAGGTTTACAATAGTGCGCTCTGGGGCCCGGAGGCTGTATGAGGCGGCCCCAAACCCTAAAACTTCAACGCAGCTGTTCTAGGTCACACAGAGTAACCTCGGCATAAGAGGGCACCCTCATTTGTTTCGAGTATAAGCAGGGAACCGAAGCCAACAGAAGCAGAAGGGCCCACTACTCTGGGTCTTAGTGTTTGGGTCTTGGGGGCTTAGTTGGGATGATAGCCTCCAGCCCCTCGGCCTCCAATCATTCTGGAGGCCCAAAGAAAGACTCACTCCACGTACTTCTGCACCCCCAAATAACCACCAATGCCTCAACAAGGAGAACCAAAACCCTAAACCCTACAAACCCTAAACCCTCAACCCTAAACGCCCTAAACCCGCCCCAAATCCTCAACCCTAAAACCCTAACCGAAACCATGGCTGAGCGGGGGCAGGTGGCAGTTGTGCGCAACAGCCTTCAGCGGCACAAAACCCCAAACTTGAGGGCTTGGGGTTTAGGGAATATGGTCAGCAAACTATTGTGCAAACTCCCAATTCCTCAACCATAGGACCCTGAATCCTGAACCCTACAGCCTAAACTCTACATCCTAAACCCTGAACCCTGAACCCTCAAACCTAAACCCCTACACCCCTTAAACCCCCAAACCCCAAACCCTAAACCCTACACCCCAAACCCTAAACCCCTAAACCCTAAACCCCTAAACCCTAAACCCTAAACCCTGAACCCATCGGCGCCCTGGGCAGCCTCGACAAGACCAAGGGCGTCGAGGCCTCGGGCGACCAAGGCGCAGTCCTTTCGACTCATCTAGGGTTTAGGGTTTAGGGTTTAGGGTATAGGGTTTCGGGTTTAGGGTTTAGGGTTTTGGGTTTAGGGTGTAGGGGTTCAGGGTGCGGGTTTAGGCTTTAGGGTTTAGGGGTTAGGGGGGTTGAGGGTTGAGGGTTCAGGGTTTAGGGGTTCGGGTTCTGGGGTTCTAGGGTTCTAGGGTTTCAGGGTTCAAGGGTTCTAGGGTATGGGCTAGGGTTAGGCTTTTGGGCTGAGGGTTTAGAAGTTCAGGGTGCTTTTGGGCTTCGGGGTAGGGTTTCGAAGTTGGGCTTCAGGTGGGCTGAGGGTTGTCTACGGGTTCTGCGATCAAGGGGCAGGGGTAAGAGGCTTAGGGTAGGGGTACAGAGCTCAAGGGGTTCCGGGATTTGGGGGTTTGGTGGGCGTTTTGGGGCCCGGGATTTGGGAGTTGAGCTCCTACACCGGGAGGTTGTACGAAGCTCCATCTCCCCCCCCCTCCCTCAATCAAAAAACGGGAGAGAATGCCTTACTGATTTCGTTAAGACCCTAAACCCTAAACCCCCTAAGCTCAAGGCCCTTGGCACCCTGGCCCGAATGGAACCGCACAAGTTGCAGTCGCCCTGCAACCCACGATGCCAAAGGGTTAGGATTCAGGGTTTAGTGCTTAGGGGGGCTTAAAATCCCAAATGCCCTAACCCCTCTTGGTGCCCTGCAAGCCTTTTAGAATAGGGTACCCTTTCTAGGGTTGAATAAATTTGGAAAGGAACCCTGAACCCAAAAAAGAGGCGAGGGAAGATAGACCCTAAGCCCTAAACCCTTAGCCCTAAACCCTAAACCCTAAACCCCAAACCCTGAACGCCAAAAGAGTAATCTTGGAATACAAATGGGACCCTTGTTGTGCCTCCTGGGACTCTGTTTAGGAACCACGCCGGAAAGAACGCAGGAACCCGGAGCTTATCAGCCAAAGTTTGGCTGCCTGGGTTTAGGGTTTAGGGTTTAGGGTTTAGGGTTTAGGGTTTAGGGTTTGGGGTTTAGGGTTTGGGGTTTAGGGTCTCAGCGGCACCTTTTGCTTGCGAGGTGGTCGTTAGCTTTGCGTCGAATTCAACACCAATTCCTTGCAGCAGCTCCCTTCGGTCACGGGAAAGTTTGCCAGCCCGTGCCTGGAGCCAGTGCCAGTTGAGAGGAGGGCTTTCTTTGGGGTTTAGGGTTTAGGGTTTAGGTTCAGGGTTTAGGGTTTAGGGTTTCGGGTTTAGGGTTTAGGGTTTAGGGTCGAAGTGGAGGGCTTGCATGGGGGATTGATCGAAATTGTGGGCCCTCTTAGTCACGAAGCATCAAGAATCTTGCTACAAGACGATCTTCTCGGTAGCTTGGTACACACATGCTACACGAGGTGCGCATCCCTCCCGCGCACCCTTGGGATCAAAGTGACTTCCACTTAGTGTGGTTTTAGGATAGCCCTGGAACCCGAATGGTGCGGTTTAGGGTATCCTGGAACCCTAAGCACCATTGTTTTAGAGTTTAGGGGTTCGGGGATGAATCTGGTAGTTTAGTATGGGCCCTTGACAGGGGGCCCCCTATATACCTTACATGCCCTATACAACCCAAGGGTTTAAAGGAGGTAAGGATGAGGGTTTGGAGATGTTGGAGAGCTTGTCTTCACTTTGTAGGGTTTCGGATTCACTGTATAGTCTAGGGCTCAGGGTTTCAACATTGCGGACACGTTGTTCTCAAACCCTATTAGGGTTTGCAACCGAGAGCCCTCAACCCGACAAATGTCTACACTCTATAAACAAACCCTAAAACCTAAAACCCTAGACCCCAAACCCTACCGCAAAGAGCCCCAGAATCATGAATCCCTAAAGGTTTATAAGGGAACCTACACCCCCCCCCCCCCCCGCCCCCCAAAAAAAAAGGGAATAAGGGTACTACTGGGCCTCCTAGCTTCTTCGGGAACCTAAACAGTAAAACAAGGAATAAGGGCCTACTGTGGGTCCTAGTAAGTCCGAAAACCCCGAAGTCCTGAAAACCCCTCAGCCGGCCTTGGTCTTCTGAGCGTAGATCCAGCGACCCAACTTTCGAATGCCTTGCCTGGTTTAGGGTTTAGGGTTTAGGGTTTAGGGTTTAGGGTTTAGGGTTTAGGGTTTAGGGTTTAGGGTTTAGGGTTTTAGGGTTTTAGGGTTTGGGGCTTAGGGTCTATTAGGGTTTAGGGTGTAGGGAAGGATTTGAAGGGGAGCTTTTCAAGGGCTTTGCGGTCGTCTTTTGGGTTTTCGAGGAGGTGTAGGGTTTAGGGTTTAGGGTTTAGGGTGTAGGGTTTAGGGTTTAGGGCTAGGGCTCAGGATTTCTTCGCTCAACTTCGGGGGTTGATGGCCTAGGGGCCGCAGCTAGCGATTCAGCTGCATGTTCAGCATTATGAGCGTTACTAGCACTGCTAACACTACGAGCGTTTTCGCACTATGAGGTAAAGCATGAAAAGTAGGAGTCATCTTAAGATCATTAAGTCTTACGAGTATGATGAACATGCTTCGAATTTGATAGCACGCTTACAATGATTACTTCTAGCTAAGTATAGATGGCACCAGTAAGTTGAGGATCCTAAGGCCTAAACCAGACAAAAACAAACAAAACTAATTCCAAGCCAGAAGTATTGCAACCCTAAACCCACAACCCCAAACCCCAAACCCCAAAAACCAAACCCCAAACCCCAAACCCCAAACCCCAAACCCTAAACCCTAAACCCTAAACCCTTCCGAGGCACTCCACGTCTGTGCTACTGGGTCTTGCGTGGCCGGAGCTGCTTTTGAAGCCTTGGTGGGGCCATCAACATTCTAGAGATGCACGGCATTTCATGGACGGTACACGCTAAACTCCAAGGAATGCACCATCAACGAGGTCCTGAACCCTAAGCCCTTGTTTAAAAAAAGAGAGGCAAGATGTAGATCAGCGCACCCTGAATTCTCAAAACAGATAGGAGCCTACAGAATTTCCAGAATCCCCTAAACCCTTCTCCCCGGACCCTAAACCCTAAACCCAAACACGCTCCGAATACGTGTTGTTCTCTAAACTATTAGGGTCCCTTTTTGGCTCTCACACAACAGTACGGCACCCTGAAACTAAACCCTAAACCGCAGACCCTAAACCCTACTTGGATTCTAATGACTGTACTATTACTTATTACAACCCAATTATAGCCACACTAGGGCACTTAAAGGGCTTATGAGTGGGTGATAAGTGCAGTTATAATTGGGTGAATAAGTACCATGAACCTCCCAGTAGACCCCCAAAGTCGGGAATTCGGCATCTTGCATTTTAGGGTTTAGGGCTTAGGGCTTAGGGTTTAAGGCATTTGTTCTGCACTTGGGAGTCCAAAGGGCAGCTAAAGACCCTTATCCCCCAGCCCTCAAACCCTAAACCTCTAGCACGTCTGAAGGATTAAGACATGTTTAGGGTGTACAGCTTTGGGTTTAGGGTTTATAGGGTTGAGGGTTGAACCGGGACACCCCCCCCCCCCTCCTCTTCATAACAAGTCTTAAACACTAGATTTCTGTTCGTTTCTTGCTACTCTGCAACCCCCAAACCCTGAGATCAACAACACATCCTTAATTAGGGTTTAGGGTCCCTATTAAGGACTGTTAGTATACGGGGGAACATCCCAAGGTCCAGGGTTTAGGGTTTAGGGTTTAGGTTGAGGGTTTAGGGTTTAGGGTTTAGGGCTTGGGGTTTAGGGCCCGAAGTGCAACCATGATGCTTTGCAGGTCGTGGAAGTTGCATGCCCAGCGAGCCTGTACAGTTGAGGGGTTTTAGGGCTTGGGGTTTAGGGTTTAGGGTTTAGGGTTCAGGGTTTAGGGTTAGGGTCGGGGGTTTAGGGTCTAGGGTCTAGGGTTTAGGGTTTACGGCTATAGCGCTGAGAGTTCGGGGGATGTCCGTAGGCTCTAACTAAAGCATAACCATAAAGAGTGATATAAGTCGTCGTAGCTTCTTGCGCAATGCTGAGATCAGGGAATGTTTCTGTGACAATTTCTTTGATCGATGTGTGTTGTGGTCTGAAAAATAACAATCCCAATAAATTCCCTTATAAAGAAATATATTTATAATGTTTTTTTTTTTTTTTTTGGGGGGGGGGGGGGGCGGGGGGTTCTTAATAAGCAAATAGTATTTGTCAAAAGCTTGCGGTCGGTTTGTGATCGGTTGTCGGTCCAAGTTTAGAAAGTGCAGCAGTGCGAAGCCTTCTTGTCATTGTGCAGGTTAGGGTTTAGGGTTTAGGGCTCAGGGCTCCGGTTTTGCGGTTTAGGGTTTAGGAATTAGGGTCTGGTTTAGGGTTACTAAGCCTTCAACCCTAAAGCCTTAAACGTTAACACCCCGGTGGTGGTAAGGAAGGAACTCAGAACCTTCCGTCCTGTACATTGGTTGCGCGTATCCAGTAAGATCTGGGGCCTTGGGAAGCCCAAACCCGAATAAGGTGTGAGAAAACCCTAAGCCCTAAACCCTAAAGCCTAAACCCTAAACCCTAAACCCTAAGTTCAGCAATGAAAAGCCCGAAGGCATCATGTTGGACCTCCTCGGGGTCCATCTCCACACCGAGCTTGCGCAGCAGCTGCACTTGCTTCTGCTGAAGACCTCCAATTTGGGGTGGGAGGGTTTAGGGTTTAGGGTTTAAGGTTTAGGGTTTAGGGGTTTAGGGGTTTAGGGATTAGGGTTCAGGGTTTAGGGTTTCGGGTTTCGGGTCAAGGGTTTTGGGGGCTAGGGTGGTAGGGTTGAAGGTGTCAGGGATCAGGGGCTAGGGCTTAGGGCCTCGGGTGCAGTTCGTGAAATAAAAGCTCTTCGGGTTTCAGCGTCGAAGGCGCAGCGTTGAGTTTTTGGGGTGTACGACCCGGCTTCAGCATTGTGGGGTACAAGGTTTCAGGGTAGTTCAGGTTTGAAGGCCCTTTGTGCTGTGGATGAGGGTGGACGAGCTTCGGCGCCCTGGAACTTTGGAGGCAGGAGGGTTGAGGCGTGTCGAACCCGAAGCTCTCCCT